TCACCATCATCATCATCACCATCGCCATCACCACCACCATAACCATCACCATCACCATCACCATCCCCATCACCATCCCCATCACCATCACCATCAACCTCACCAAGTACTTTGGTACTTATCGTTTCTTATCGTGACCTTACGTGTCTTTACTTGTCTTAAAGTGTCGTATCGTAGAAAAGAGTGACCATCACCAAGAACAAAATCTGAAACAAGTAAAACAAACAACAGCAATCATTGCTCGCCGTTCATTTCTTTACTCGGATGCTCTTACTTTTACAATTACCAATTTCCCGCGCTTTTTTTTCTAGGATGCTCTTACTTTTACAATTACCAATTTCCCGCTCTTTTTTTTCTGGGATGCTCTTACTCTTACAATTACCAATTTCCATCTCTTTTTTTCTGGGATGCTCTTACTCTTTCAATTACCAATTTCCCGCTCTTTTTTTCTGGGATGCTCTTACTCTTTCAATTACCAATTTCCCGCGCTTTTTTTCTGGGATGCTCTTACTCTTTCAATAACCAATTCCCCGCTCTTTCTGTGTGTGTTTCAGACGACAACCCGTGCGTGAACCGGTCCCAGGTGTACGAGCTGATGCGGAAGTCCGTAGTGGACAGCGAGATCGTGTACTACGTGGTGGAGAACAAGACACATCTTGACCGCTGGGACTTCAGTGGCGCCTTCGGCTTCGTTGTCTCTGTGGTGACCACCATAGGTACGGGTTAGAGGTTTTGTTTGGTTTTTGTTTGTTTGTTTTTTGTTTGGGTTTTTTTTTGTGGGGGGGTATTGTTTTGTTTGGGGTTGTTGTTTTTTTGGTAAGTGTTTTACGGCGCTTGCAACTGCATAAGGTCATTTGGGACACATTAAACATTTTCAGTAGATAGGAAATTTTGAATTTAGCCGGGGTGGCGGCCGAAGCCTACTCTTATCGATTTCAGACCACCAAAGGATCTTTAACGTGCGCAACACTGCTCACGGGACCTCCGATATTTTTCGCCCTTGTCAGAGAAGGCTAGGTGTAGATCTTTCCTACCAGAAGATCAGGGTTGTGGCTTAAAGACAAGAGTCAGATGGAGCCAAGGAGTAGCAGTAGAAAAGCTGCAGAAAGAGTCAGGAACCCAGAGGAAGGAGCAAAGGAGGTGAGGGGCGCTGGGGCAGAAAGTGGAAACGAAAGCAGACGACAGAACATTGCTGGAGAGCAGGAAAGAAGGTGAAAGGAGACAATTTTAGAGAAGGGTTAGCACTGGGGTTAGG